CATAAAATTAGTCAGAACAGTTTTGAAAAAAACAGAGCAGCCAACCTCTATGCGAAATTGTCAGAGTGCGAGTTTCACAAACAGAGAATTGACTATCTGGGCTACTGCATATCAACCGAAGGCATAGAGATGGACTCCAAGAAAGTCCGCGCAGTGCTAGATTGGGCACCACCCCGCATGAGAAAGCAAGTACAAAGCTTCTTGGGGTTTGCTAACTTCTACCGTCAGTTCATCCCTTCTTTTGCCCAGATAGCCCTGCCTATCACAAACTTACTAAAGACGAAAGGGGGAGGCTCGATAAAACCTAGTCAGCTACTAACCTGGGCGATGGAATGTCAAGCCACATTCAAAAGACTAAAAAGACTTTTTTCAGCTGAACCAGTCCTAAAACACCCTGACCCAGATAAGCCATTTGTAATCCAAGCTGATGCAAGTGACGTAGCAGTAGGAGCAATATTGCTACAGGAAAACGACAAGGGGCAGTTGCAACCCTGTGCCTACACATCCAGAAAACTCTCTGACATGGAGCAATGTTGGGTGATATGGGGGAAAAAAGGCGTACGTTGTGCGGTAGGCACTCCTCACCTGGTGGCACTTCCTGGAAGGGAATAAGATTCCATTCCAGGTCTGGACAGACCATAAGAACTTCGAAGCCCTGAAAATTTCTAGAAAACTCACCCCCAAACAAGCCTGGTGATCACAACACTTCCACCGGTTTATATTCAAAATCAAACACTTGCCAGGCGGGAGGAATTTCCTGGCAAATGCCCTATCCCGCATGCCCCAGTACAATAGCTCCCAGCCAACCATCTCCAAGCTGCTCATGCAAGTAACCACAAGAGCTCAGACAAAACTAAAGCAGCCAATAGCCAGGCAAGCAGGGATAGAATTCAGGAAGGCTCTAGAAACTGATGAAAGGTTCCAGAGCCACAAAAACGTGTGCCATGGGTGGGTGAGAAGCTGTACATCCCCAAAACCCATAAGATTACATTTATGCAACTCTGCCATGACACGAAACCAGCAGGTCACTTTGGGATCGTGAAAACACTGCATCTAGTAAAAAGACAGTTCTGGTGGCTATCTATGAAAAAGGACATTGAGAGCTATGTGGCCAGCTGTCTGAATTGTGCAGCTGCTAAGAGACTGCAAGTGAAAGCCCCCGGACTGTTACAGCCAGTGGCAAGCCCCTCAGCCTCCTGGAGGGAAATCTCCATGTACTTTATATTAGAACTACCAGAAAGTAATGGAAACACAGCAATCTGGGTGGTCACAGACTTATTCTCAAAACAAGTACATCCCTTGTCCAAAAATCCCCACCGCTAAAGCCTTAGCAAAACTGTTTGTCCAGCACATATATAGACTGCATGGGGCACCCCAATGCATAATATCAGATGGGGTACAATTCACATCAGACTTTTGGAAAGAGTTCCTATCCCTTCTGGGGACCACCCAGGGGCTGTCATCTAGTCATCATCCTCAGATGAATGGGGGAACAGAATGTTTGAACTCAGTACTTGAACAATATCTAAGATGTTTTATTAATTTCTAGCAGATGAACTGGACTGACCTGCTCCCTTTTGCAGAAGTGGCATACGACAACGCAGTCCATTCCAGCATGGGCTACACCCCATTCCAAGTAGCTACGGGCCAAAGCTTCAACCCTATGCCGGAATTAAGTGCCAATGAGCCGGTCATTCCCTCCTTGAAGGAGTGGATCGCACAATAAAAAAGAACCCTGGCCAGTAGTTAAAAAAGCACTAGATGAAGCTAGACAGGCCTATAAAGCACAAGCAGATAAGAAAAGAGTCGAATCAAAACCATTCGTCGTTGGGGAAATAGTTTACTTATCCACAAAATACCTGAAATCCCTGCAACCATCCAAGAATTAGGACTGAAATATATGGGACCGTTTCCCAACAAAAGAATCATAAATCCAGTAACAATAGAGTTAGAATTACCAAAAACCCTCAAGCAGATTCACCCTATCTCCCACTGCAACCTACTAAAATGAGAGCAACGGTCACCGCTACGACCAGATATTGCCCCACTGCCTCCTCCCATTATGGTTGAAGGGGAGCAGCATTTTGGAATAAAAGAAATCCTTGACTCCCGAAAATACCATGGGGCAACCCAATACCTAGTAGCGTGGAAGCACCTTCCTTCTTCCCAAAATGAATGGGTGCACAAATGTCACGTTAGAGCCCCCAAATTATTAAGAAAGTTTCACACCGACTACCCGAACAAACCAGACTAACCTCTCGTTATTTGTTTTGTCTCTCAACAAATGTCTCATATTTTTAAGGGGGTCAGGATGTCAGAACCCAAAACTGTCTGATCTCATACTTTCCTTGCTTCTTTCTCGAACCCAAATTCCATTCTCTTCTCTCCTTGAGTTCTGCCATATTTCTAGAGGGGAGGAGGGAATGATCATGGGTTTATTGCCTTAGCTTCCTCTATCGCTACAATGTAACACTCTGCTCTCCTGTGTTATTTCTTAGCCTCCTCTATCACTAAAATGTAACACTTTGCTTTCCTGCACTATTTCTCTCTGTAATTTCCTCTCCTTAAACTGTCAACTAGAAAAGGGGGAGGTAGAAAGGAATGCAGCCTCCAGCGACCGGCTTATCTCTCCACTCTCAACAGAAGGTGTGAAGAATTGTCTAATCATCGCAGTTACAGCCAGAGCTGGCCTGATGTTATCTTTCCTTTCCCACGATGGACTTAATACCTGGAGATTGGCCAGTTTGAATTGTCCAGATGAACTAGGGGGTGGGGTTTGCTTGAGGACACTTTAAATTATTGATCTGAGGTGGAACCCCTCAGATCCCGTCTAGTATGCCCGTTATTGGCTTCTCCTAATAAAAGTTCCTTTTGGAAGAGCTTGCTTCCATGAGTTCTGCTTTTTTGGGAAGAGGTATTGAAGTGGGTCCTGACACCCCTGTTCATAAGAATACAATACTTTCATTCAAATCTATTATCTGATTCTTCTACAAATCAGAGTCACTAGATAATTAGAAGCACTTGGACACATTTGGAAACTAATATTTATTTATTTATGCCATTTATATATATGTACTAATCAAGCTAGATCTCTTAATTGTTCTGTTTAATAATTGTGAACCTTTTTCTAGGTTCTAGACATGGTTTGAAGGTGTTATGTTTAATAAAGATCAGTACATAAATCATCAAACAGAAATCCCTTAATTTGACAATTTCAATTTGAATTTGTGTAAAAATGTCTCTATGCAAAGTACATGTGAGTAGGATAATTAAAGGACTTGGATTATGGTTAGATAATATACATGCTAGATTCAGTTGCAAATGTATGTTCTTATTGCTAGAACAGGTCTATTAAATACTGTGATATAAATTAATTAGAAGAATGAAATGTGATAAATTTAATTTATTTAAATTGACATAATTTAAATGAATACTTTGATGTTAATCTCTTTTTATTTCCATGAGTTTTATAGAAAATAAAGTTTCTTGAAAATATCTATTTTTGGATTTAGCCTAAGAAAAAGGTCTCTTTGAAACATTAAAATGAAGTCATGTGGAGCAGTAACTATTTAAATGCAGAACAATACGCAGATTGCTTTTTTTTTTTCCCATATAAGAAACCTATGGTAATTCATTTCCCCTTTTTCACCTAGGTTTGTATCTTGGTATAAGAAGCTGAAAAATGTTTTTTAAACTAGTTTTACACAATTAAAAAAATAAACAGTTTCTCACAATAGCAAGTCAAATACCTATATTTTGTAATTAGTACTTATGCAAATATATTTCTTGAAGCAAAAGTAATTGTTCCCAGGATAACTGATTATAAGAATAGGCCCAATAATTAGAGAAATATTGTAATGTGTTATAATAATTTAATAATATCTGAGCATATTCTTTTTTTTACTATTTAATGGCCAGTTATTAGGACCTCTGAGGTACAGTAAAATGTATTTGAAAAATTATAATTTCTTTCTTGTAATCTGTAAGTGTTCTGTCTTTCCAAGTTTTCAATTTTCTTTAGCCAAGCTGAGGAGAGATTGATAAATTTTGATTATCATGTTCCGAGAATATTTTAAAAGTAACAAGCCCAACTTCCAAAATATCTTTGTATGTTTATTATTTAGTAAAACAGACCAAATAACATTTATTTGCACCTTCAAATAATTAGAATAAGATTAAGAAACTTATGTTTCTTTGAACTTTGAGGTATAGAATTTACTACTGTCTTCGTGTAAGGCAAAATTGCTTTTCCATATTCATGTGATCAAATGACATAGAAACAGGGCCTCTTTCTTTGCTTTTTTTTGGTTGTTGTTATTGTTATTGTTCCTTCAAGTCTGTGTTGACACCTAAACTTGTCCCTGCAGTTGTCTTGGCAAGACTTTGGAAGTGGTTTGTCATTGCTTCCTTTCATAAGGCTGAGAGACAAGGACTGGCCCAAGTCACCCAGCTGGCTTTGTACTTAAGATGGGATTAGAACTCAGTCTCATGGTTTACATCCTGATGCCTTAACCACTATAGCAACTTGGCTTTCTATGGATTATTGTAATACATATAGTATGTACAGCCTGTTCCAGTGGGCTTTATGTTTTATATGGAGAGGCCTTATCCATGTGTCAGTGAGAAGTATCTTCGTAGAAAGGGAGATGGCCATTGATCCATCAGTAATGAGAATCAGTTGGTGGATCTTCCAAACTTTTATGTTTTTTATGTGCATATATTTGTATGTGTGTGTATGCATGGGAAACAGTAACTTATTTATTATTAAGGTATTACTTGGGGATTTTCTATTTGAATATTTTCTTTTTATTAGATACTTTAGATATATGTATTTATATAAGACAGAAACAATAAAGACTATTGTTTGAATTGTTATTTACCAGTAAAAGTAAGGTAGGGCAAAAAAAGGGATAGGAAAAAGATAAGAAAAAAGTGTGTATATGTTTGTGTGGGTGTATTAATCAGTGCATTTAAAGTATTTGTGTATCTTTGTTACACAGGAGTTGAAAAACTAATCCGCCATCTACACAAACATAATATTCCTACAGCTGTTGCTACTAGTTCATCTCGAGTGACATTTGAAATGAAAACAAGCCAACACAAAGACTTCTTTGGTTTATTTCATCATATTGTCTTGGGAGATGACCCTGAAGTAAAGCATGGCAAGCCACAACCTGATGTGTTTTTAGTTTGTGCAAAGAGATTTGATCCTCCTCCATGTCCAGTAAAGGTAAACATAATCACAAAATAGAATAACAACCCAAAATCCAAGCTATTATGTTTTGATCTTTTATTTTTTTAATGTGAAAGGGGTTAGATATTTGATGGTATTGTGATTGATCTTTAACATGTAATAATTTATAATAACAACTGATGGGCTGCTGTTTGCTCTAAAGCACGGGTGTCAAACTAGGCCACATCACGTGACGTGTCGCAACGTATCACGACTCTTTGCATTGCCGGCAATAGGGTGGGCATAGCTTCGGTATGATGAAACCAGCCCAGAGGCTGGCAGTTTGACACTCCTGCTCTAAAAGCAATATTTTAATTGGACTTGGAAAGGAAGAACAAGATTAGTAACTAATTGGATAGGAGACGACCAAGAAATTCCAGGTGTCTCCTAAGGTCTCTCCAAAACCAACATTCAAAGCAACACTCTTTGGCAGCACTCTTTGTCTCATGTTTCTTCCAAGTCTACATTTGCCCAAGTTGGTTCTGTCATTAAGGAATGTGCAACAACTTACTCACATTCAAAGGCAATTGTGCACCTGTCATGTTTGTTATGGACTATCCATAACATAACTATCCATGGAAGGAGTCTCCACTGAGTATGAGAAGGGGAGAAATTGCCATAACTGCTTCCACTCAGTAGTGGAAGATTTTTTTAAAAAAATGTATGGAATCCTCAGAGAAAGGTCACTTCCAAAATAATCTTTGGGGGGGGAATATCCTTTTATTTGGGTTTAGATGTTGTTTGTAAAAAGAAGTTTACACATGTCTTGATAATATATCAGGGAGTTAGTAAGAGGCATAAAATAATAAATTATGCTTTGTAGCCCTCTGCCATTCTATGTTGATGATGTGAAACCACTCACTCATTGCTAAAAAGCAGCACATTATTAAGTAACTGGAGAATAAGCCACTGTATTAAGGAGCTCATTACAGATTTTTTTTAAAAAAAGACAATCTTTCATGATAGCCTCTTTGCTGAATCGTATATCTTTTGCAGTATACAAGAGTTTGCTTTTGGTATTGCCACTGAATATAATAACAAGATAACTATGTTTAATTTACCTCAAACAATCTTATTATGGAAGTTGAAATTGTCTGTTTAACTCTTTATGCTTGCCATAACTGCATCTTTATAGCCTCGAACAAACTAGTAGAACAAGAAAATCTTCCATTAATGTAACAACAACAACAACAACAACAGTAATAATAATAAAGTTGGAAGAGACCTTGGAGATCATCTAGTCCAGTGCTTTTCAACCAGTGGTACGGGTACCACCTGTGGTACATTGGCACCTGGCAGGTGGTACGCGAGCATCCTAGAAAAGTGGTAGCAGGGGAGGAGAATGAGCTGAACCAGTGGCAGCACTGCACAAGCCTGAGCGAAAGATAGCTGGAGCTGCAGGGCTGCTGTCAGGGCTCAGCGGAAGCACCAGGATCGGCACTTCTTCGAGACTGTCTGGGCTCAGCGGAAGTACCAGGATCAGCGCTAGGCTCCAGCTGGAGCTCGGTGCTGATCCTGGCACTTCTGCTGAGCCCAGAAGAAGTGCCGATCAGCTGGAATGCTGCAGCATCTCCAGGGTCTTGTGATTTACATTCAGATGCTTCGCAACTGATTCATATTTATGACAGTCACAGCGTCCCAGGGTCATGTGAAGTGACCAAAACCTGCTGCAGCCACCCAGCAGATGGGGGGAATAAAAACCAAACACCCCCACCCCACCCCCAACTGCTAATCCTCCACAGAAATGCTTACAACAATGAAAACCTCGGATAGGAGGAAGAGCGCCGCCGGGTGGGCAGGCAGGTGTCTTGCTCAGCTGTGGCTTGGGAGGCACTTTTTTCAGTGCCATTGTAACTTTGAACAGTCATTAAGTGAACTGTTGTAAGTCAAGGACTACCTATACTTCATCACTTTTTTCCTTTTTTTGGTCATCAAGTTTTTGACACTTTGCTAGGCAACTGGTGGTACTCGGATATTGCCATATCCTAAAAGTGGTACAATGGGTGAAAAGGTTGAAAAGCCCTGATCTAGTCCAACCCCCTGCTCAGGCAGGAAACCCTATACCATTTTGGACAAATGGCTGTCCAGTTTCTTCTTAAAAACTTCCAGTGTTGGGGCATTCACCACTCCTGGAGGCAGGTTGTTCCACTAGTTAATTGTTCTAACTGTCAGGAAGTTTCTCCTTAGTTCTAGGTTGCTTCTCTCCTTGATTAGTTTCCATCCGTTGCTTCTTGTCCTGCCTTCAGGCGCCTTGGAAAATAGCTTGACTGCCTCTTCTTTGTGGCAGCCCCTGAGATACTGGAACACTGCTATCATGTCCCCCTCGTCCTTCTCTTCATTAAAATAGACATACCCAATTCCAGCAGCCATTCCTTATATGCTTTAGCCTCCAGTCCCCTAATCATCTTTGTTGCTCTTCTCTGTACTCTTTCTAGAATCTCAATATCTTTTTTACATCGTGGTGACCAAAACTGGATGCAGTATACCAAGTGTGGCCTTACCAAGGCATTGTAAAGTGGTATTAATATTTCACACGATCTTGATTCTATCCCTCTGTTAATGCAGCCTAGCGCTGTGTTGGCTTTTTTGGCAGCTGCTGCACACTGCTGGCTCATATTTAAGAGATTGTCCACTAGGACTCCGAGATCCCTCTCACAATTATTACTATTGAGCAAGGTACCCCCTATGCTATACCTGTACATTTGGTTTTTCTTGCCTAAATGTAGAAACTTACTTTTTTCACCATTGAATTTCATTTTGTTAGATAGCGCCCATTGTTCAAGTCTGTCTAGATCCTCCTGTATCTTAAGCCTATCTTCTGGAGTGATGGCTATTCCTGCCAGTTTGGTATCATCTGCAAATTTGATGAATTCCCCATCTATTCCCTCATTCAAATCATTGATGAAGATGTTGAAGAGCACTGGGTCCAGAACAGAGCCCTGGGGCACCCCACTACACACTTCCCTCCATGTAGATGTGGTTCCATTGAGGACCACATGCTGAGTACGGCCGGTCAGCCTGCTACGAATCCATCTGGTGGTGATGCTGTCTAACCCACATTTTTCTATCTTATCAAGTAGTAGGTTGTAATCTACTTTATCAAATGCCTTACTGAAGTCCAAGTAAATTATATCCACAGCATTCCTCTGATCCACTAATTTTGTCACTTGATCAAAGAATGCAATAAGATTTGATGAGAGGAATGACCAAATATATTTCAAAATATTGCAAAATCTTTATTAATACAGTGATTTTTTATTTGGACATCCATGTTGTCTTTCTTTTTTTCTCTTACTCAGTAATAAATTATCATTATCTAAGATAATTCAGTACCAAGGGAGGCATTAATCTTGTCATGTTTGTGTATCTGTATATTGTTGCAATTGTATATAATTTATGTAAGTAAAGCCTTCAAGGTAGCTTTCAAAATATTAAATTAATATAAACATATTAATGTATTAAATATATATTAATTACTCTGCCAGAAATCAACTTCAAGAATCTTATTAGAAAAAAGCTCTCAGAAATATAGAGAATAGAGAATAAATGTAGCAGTGAAATTAAGTAACTATTAGTGACTATATTTGCAATTAGGTAGTAATTTTTTTCCTGTGCCTTTTTTTCCTAGCATCAGTATAAAGGAACAGAAAGATACCGTTTATTTATTTTTAAAATTTTATTATTTTATTTTCATTACAATCATAAGAAAAAAAATTCAGATACATAACAAGTTAAAATACAACACACAAATTCCGGCATTGCTCACCCATTCCCCCCCAAACTGCATCCCCCTCTCATCTCTTACTTCCCCCTTCCTTCTACTTCCTCACTCTCCTCCTCTCCTCCCTCTCTCCTCCATCTTTCTACTTACTTATCCCTCTCCTCTTCTTCTCAATCGGATGCGGTCTAGGGGAAAATGCCCGAGCAATCCTCTATCACCAAAAAAAAAAGAAAAAAAAATCTTAAAAATATAAAACTATTCCTACTTATCTGAACTATTGAACATACTACCCATACTCTCCCCTCCCCCACCCCCTTCTCCCCCCCGGCTTCCCAGACCTCAGTATAGGGTTACACACACACACACACACACACACACACACACACACACACAAAACTAAACATAATCAACTTAAATCTACTACTTATACAATAACCAAAATCATAATAACCCTTAACTCTCTACAAACTTCAATTCATAATTTAATAAAAATCCATTATTCATCAAATAAATGAAACTTTGTTGTTCCATACTTCTTCTGAATATATTCTATCCATCTTCTCCATACAGAAACATATCTCTTTTGTGAATGGTCCTTTAAGTAAGCAGAAATTTTAGCCATTTCTGCTAAGTTAGAAACCCATTCTTCCAAAGAAGGCAGAGAATCTTTTTTCCAATACTGACCCACCAATAGTCTTGCTGCTGTTATTAAATTCAGCATTAAAATAGTTTCTTTAACATCAAAATCCACAAAAATTCCCAAAAGAAATAATTGGGGAGTAAATTTAATTTTCTTTTTAAAAACCTTTTGAATGTTCCACCAAATCATAATCCAAAAAGCTTTAATATTTTTGCAAGTCCACCAAACATGAAAATAAGTTGCATCCAAGGAACCACATCTCCAACATTTGGGTTGCAAATTCGGATACATACAAGATAACTTTTTTAGGATCCAAATGCCATCTATAAAACATTTTATAAAAATTTTCCCTCAAATTTTGTGCTTGAGTAAATTTAACATTTCTAACCCAGATTATCTCCCAAGAATCCATTAAGATTGGTTCCTGTATATTCTGAGCCCATTTGATCATACAATCTTTTACTAACTCTGTTTCTGAATCCAATTTTATCAACTCATTATAAATTCTTTTGATATGAGCAAATTTCTGATCTTTAATCTGAATTACTAAGTTTTTCTCTGTTAAAGTAATTCCCACCTTCTTATCTACCCTCCATCTCTCCATTATTTGTAAATATTGAAACCATGATTGTAAAA